GCGGCGGGGCGCGGGGCGGCGGGCGCGGGGCTCCGGCGGCTGCGGGCGGCGAGCGCGGAGCGCGGCCATTTGCAGGCGGCGGGCGCTAACGGCTCCGTGTCCATTCTCTCCCGCCGCCATGAGGCAGGCACCGGCCGCACGGAAGGTACAGCCGCGCCCTAACCCGCATGCGGGGCTCGCGGCCGCGGGGATGGAGATGGCGGGGGGGAGCGGGGCCGCAGCGCTGCGCTGCTCGGGGCTCACGGGGGCCGGCCGAGGCGAGCCGTGCCGTGCCGTGCTGTGCTGAGCCGTGCCGTGCTGTGCTGTGCTGCGGGAGCTGCGTGCTGCTGCGGGGCGGGGGGACGGCGGCTGTGCCCGGTGCGTTGCTGCTCTGTGCTGCTCTGTGCTGCTCTGTGCTGCTCTGCTGCCCTGCATACTTATTTTTAGCATGGCCAGGATGTCACCGCTGGCGTTCAGGAGAAATTGGGAGGATTTTTTTTTTTTTTTTTTTGCCTGATATGAAGAAGTGGAAATAGAAATAACCCAAGGCCTCCGCTGCATCAGCAAGGAGACTTTGCAGCTTTAACGCACGGCATCACGGCTGATCTCCATCTCTGGATGTGGTACCTTGAACTCAGCAAATAGAGTGAAGAGCTCTGCCCTGCTCTGCCTGCTCTGCCCTCCACCCCAGACCACATCCAGAGCAGAGCTCCACGGGCCATACGGCACCGCAGCGCCCAGTGGGTGCAGGACGCTCGGCAGCTCTCAGCTCAGCCCCGCGCTGCTCCTGGCTCGGTCCCGGTTTTCCTCTTGCTGCTTTCCCTTCCTCTGCACGCGGCCCTGCTCGTGCATGGGGCGTTCCAGCCGTTGGGAACTCCGTGGTGGTTGTGCAGGGTGCATCCAGCGTGACCTGGGAGGGCTGCAGGGCTGGGGGTGCGTGGGGTGACGGGGCAGGTCGTCCCCGTGCTGGGTGATGCTCGGGGCTGCGTGCTGCCCGAGAGCCGCAGGAGATCCCAGCTGTGACCCATGGAGCGGCTCTGGGCAGCACCACAGCTGTGGCAGCCCGGCCCGACACAGCTTGTCAGCACGGCCCCTCCTGCACGCTGCGTGCTGACCGACCGGGCGGCGACGGCTGCCGCGGGCCGGTGCGCAGCACGGTGGGATCCGGGGGGCCGCGGTGTTGGCGCTGGGCTGCGCCAGCCCTGGAGCCGTGCAGAAGCTGCAGCGGCTGCACCCCGCTGCCGAGCAGAGCGACCCTTCGTGCCCTGCCTCTGGGTGCCTCTGTGCGTCTCTGGGTGCGCTTCCTTGCACGGGAACGGCGAGGAGAGCGGCGGAGCCGGCCGTGATGGCTGGGAGGGAGGAGCCGGCACAGCAGCGCAGCCACCGCTCGGCGAGGCGCTCGGAGTGCGGCGGGGAGCGCAGACCCGAAGTGCTGCTTTCCCTCCCCGCGGAGTCACCCGGTGCTGCCAGACGGGCTCCTCACGGTGGCCTCGGAACCGCGGCCTCCTTCCACGTCACGGCAGGCCGTGCTGGGAGAGGAGGCATAAAAGCAGGACTCTGCCGTTCCACGCGGCCGCCTTCCGAAGAGCGTCACCGAGATGCGTCCCTGGGGGGCAGCGTTTTGTTCGCACCACGGGAGCTACAGAAGCAGAGGGCTTCCAGCTGGAGGGCGCTTTCAGAGGCCGCCTGACCCCTGCGGTGAGCAGGGACAGCCGGAGCCCATCGCTGAGCTGGGCTGTGTGCGGGGATGGGGCTGAAGTCTGCACCGCTGAGACCCCAAGGGGGATTTGATCGACCCTCTGTGCAGCAGGGCTGTAGGTGACAGGGCCGTACGGAACAGGACTTCCAGAAGAAGCCAAAGTGCTCCAGCAGAGCTCGTGCTGCAGCTCCCGAAGCAGCGCTGTGTGATGGAGGTGTTCAGCTCTTCTGTTCTCCTTGCGTTTTCCCAGCTGGCTTTGCAGAGCAGAAGATGTTCAGGAAGATGTGCGTGTTCCTCTGTTCTGCTTCGTGCAGCCTTTCAGGGAATGGTCTGAGCGAGAGGAGTGAGGTTTAGGCTCAGCAAAAGGCACTGAGCAGCTCGTGTTGTGAGCAGTTCTGCTGCTGTGGGGTCAGGTCGGTGCTGCAGGGCTGCACGTCCCCGCAGTGGGGCCATCCTTCTGCTGGCCAGAGGTGGCCCAGAGGTGGCTGCAGGGATCTCCCGGGGCTGCGTGAGGTCCCACGGGACGCGATGGGCTCTGCGTAGGGTCCTGTGCGGGTGGGTTGGTGTCTGGAAATGAGAGGGAAGCACGGAGGCGTTTGGGAAGAGGCTGCAGGAGGTGCCATCGCTGCGAGGGCGCGGGGCTGCAGCACCTCGGGGCAGCCGGGCAGCGATGCTCCGGCTCCTTCAGCATCAAAGGGGTGGGGAGGAGAGAGAGGAACAAACCAATCTGGATAATAACAAAGTCAACCTCGCACTTTTTGGACATCGCTAGGAAAGGAGGCGAGTGAGATGCGCCTTCCAGCAGCAGAGCCCTGCGCAGCGCCACCTGCAGCTCCAGCAGCGCCATCAGGGGAGAGGATTGACCGTGCCGTGCGGGGCTGCGGGCGGCTCGGGGGGCTGCAGGCGACGTGCTCCGCTGGGCCGTGCTCACAGGGCTCTGCCCGGCGCATCCCTGGCAGCGCGGGACCGGCGCCGTGCGCGGCTGCGGCGGGCACTAATGGCAGCCATCTCTTTTGTTTCCTTTCCCCGTTCTCTGCTGCGTCTGCCGCTGTGCCGCTGTACCTCTGCTCCTGTCTTTCCCTGTCTGAATGTCTCTCCTCCTCTGCCTTCTGCTCCCGTGTCCCCGCAGACCACCGCCCGGCGGCCCAAGGTGAGCACAGCGGCGGCGGTCGCGTCCCCTCCCCTTCGCTGGGTGCTGCGTTGCGTCCCAGCGCCGCGTGGCACCCGGAGGGGCTCACCGGGACCTCGTGCTCCTCCGGAGTGCGTCTGAGTGTGGGGCGATGTGCTGGGGGAACGGTGCTGCCGGCTGAGCCGTGCCCGGAGCGCTGCGCTGTGGGCTGGCTGGGCTCCGTGTCCTCGCTGTCGCTGCTCTCCCCGTTGTGCGGCTGTGAGCACAGGGCTGGGAGCAGTGAGAGCTGTGGGGCAGGGCTGTGGCAGCCCAGTGCAGCCCCTCGTGCTTCGTTCCTCACCATGCAGTGAAAGTTGGACGAGGGCAGACGGGGTGGGAAATGACCCGGGAGCTCATTGACGGCTGGAGCGGCACACGGCTCCATCTCTTCTTTGGAGAGGTCCCTACAGGGATGGCTTCACCCTCACTGCTGCGTCTGTGTGCCTTGAGAGGCCACAGTGCTCCGTGCAGCCAATCTCCAGGAGTGAATGGAGTTAGGAGATGAGACTCAGTATCGTTCAGGCTGGAAAAGACCTCTGGGATCGCCGAGCTCGGCCCACCCCACCGTCCCCACTGTGCAGGTGCCACATCTCCGTGGTTCCAGGGCTGTGGGCTCCCGGCCTTCCCCCGGCACAGTGTGAGGCTGTCACCTCCCATCACTGCTCCCTGGGAGCACACAGCCTCCTTCCAGGGCTCTGCAGAGAGCAGTGAGGCTCCTCCAGCCTGAGCCACACCAGCTCCCCCAGCCGCTGCCTATAAACCTTGTGCTCCAGCCCTGCACGTCTTGCAGCCCTTCGGCCAGCTCTGTGCCCTCACCAGAGCACACTGCAGTTTGCTCCTGCCCAGCAGCAGCGCCCCCCCAGCCCCATCGCTGTCAGCTCTGCCCTGAGCACCTCGGCAGCACTGCGGCTGTACCGGGCTGCCCCCAGGGCTGCTGCTCTGTGCCACAACGGAAAGCTTTGCCCGAGCAGAGCTGCAGCAGCAGGAACAAGAACTCCCTTGTTGGGGCGGTGCGTTTCTCAGAGCTCGATGCCATGGAGATTGCTTTGTGCCACAGTGTCAGCGATGGCACCGGGGAGGGGATTGCTGCGCTGTGCCTGGAGGTGCTGCCTTCCCCCAGCACCACCGTGGGTCAGGCAGCAGAGACCCAGCGTGTGGGGCAGGCGGGGAGCAGTGGGTGCAGTGTGTGGGGCAGGCAGGGGGCACAGCAGTGCCGTGCCACGCATCCAGGTCCGTGTGCCTTGAGAGGCCGCAGTGCTCCATGCAGCCCATCTCCAGGACTGAATGGAGTCAGGAGATGAGGCTGCCCGGCTGTGGGGCTGTGGGTTGAGCCCCTCAGCTGAGCAGGTAGGACAGGCTGTGCGGGGCAGTGCCCTCCCTGGGCCTGCAGCAGTGATGGCAGCATGGTGGCGGAGAGGAAGCGGCGCTCCTTTGCTGCAGTTCCATCCGGCTGCCCCGCTTTCCTTTGGGCTCCAGCTGCTGCTCTGCCCTTCTGTCGCTCCGTTCCCCATAAGCACTGGAGCTGCAGAGCTGGGCCGCCTGCAGGGGACGCACAGGTTGTGTGATGGCAGCAGCTGTGGCCATGGGAGGGGAGGTGGCACAGCACTGCTCCGCCGTCCCCATCGCTGCGGGCTGCCCTGCTGCATCACCGCACCCAGCACGGGGTTTGTGAGCACAAAGCGTTGCCTTCTGCCACCAATCCCTGGGCACGCAGCCCCAGGTGGGCTCAGCCCGGAGCACCGCTCGCTCCTCCTTCACTCTGGGCTTCCTCTGTGCTGCTGTCAGAGCTGTGGTGGCAGCACGGTGCTGGGGGGCAGGGCTGGCTGACGTGTGGCCCTCGCAGTGTTTTCCCACGCTGTGCCTCGCTGATGCTCTGCCCTTTGCTTTGCAGCCCACCCGGACCCCCACCTCTGCCCCCTCCGGCGGCACCGCGGGGCCCTCGGGGTCGGCCTCGGCCTCGGGTGGGGAGATGAGCAGCAGTGAGCCCAGCACGCCCGCCCAGACGCCGCTGGTGGCCCCCGTCATCCCATCGCCCTCACTGACCTCGCCGGTGGCGCCCATGGTCCCCTCACCCACCAAGGTAAGCGGGGCTCCAAGTGTGCAGGGCGCCCACCATGCAGGGCAGAGGGGAGCTGCGTCCTCAGTGCTGGAGCCGGGGCAGAGCCCTGCAGTGCGCAGCATGGGCTGCTCGACTCCCACCTTCCTCCCCCCTGGGTGTTGGTAACGGTTGTAGCAGCGTAGTCCTTCCATTTGGGTTCTGTAAAATAGTTCTTCATTACGTCCGTCCTGCTTTCTATCAGTTGGTTAAAATGAGAGCTTGGGGAAGATGGAGGGCACCAGTGTGAGGAACACAGAGCCCAGCCTGGGGCTGGCAGCCTGGGAAGGGCTGCAGGGAGCAGCGCTGGGGGAGGTGAGGAAACCCCATTGCCCAGTGCTGGAAGGGAGGAAACCCCATTGCCCAGTGCTGGAGGTGAGGAAACCCCATTGCCCAGTGCTGGAAATGAGGAAACCCCATTGCCCAGTGCTGGGAGTGAGGAAACCCCATTGCCCAGTGCTGGGGGAGGTGAGGGAACCCCATTGCCCAGTGCTGGAAGGGAGGAAACCCCATTGCCCAGTGTTGGAAGGGAGGGAACCCCATTGCCCAGTGCTGGGGGAGGTGAGGGAACCCCATTGCCCAGTGCTGGAAGGGAGGAACCCCCATTGCCCAGTGCTGCTCTGCTGCCTTGTGATAAGCCAGCAGCAGTGCCTGCTTGGTGGTGTTTGCCCAGCAGTGAGCAAGCAGAGCAGAAAGCTGCTCCTTCCATCCCGTTGGCACACAGGCTGTCTTGCAGGGTCTCTTCCCTGACGTCCCCCAGCTCGATGGCTTTAAGCCCAGTCCTGGGGCTGCCATAAAGCCGTGCTGCTGGGGTGAGGTGTGAGCGCTGCAGGGCTGGAATGGGGAGCACAGGACACCATGTGGGGCTGCAGCCTGGGTGGGGGCTGTAAAACCCCAGGGCTGGGGGTGCACGGGGGGGTGTCACCCTGAGCTGTGGGACACCCACAGAGCGCAAAGCAGGTGGGCCTGGGGGTTTTCTTTCCATGGTGCAAACGCTGAGCTTTCCTCCGAGGCTCTGCTGCAGTTGCAGGGGAGCAGCTGGCAGCCCCAAGGGAGGCCGTGTGATGGCACTGTGCCACGCTGGGCACAGAGGGGCTGTGGGGCACCGTCCCTGAGGCGGCCCCGTCCCTTTGAGCCTGGCCAGAGCCCTCCCAGCCCATGCTGCAGAGCGCAGCGTCCCCCAGGCTGCGGGGTGTAACCTGCAGCTTTCTCTGCCCGCAGAGCTGCCCAGCAGTGGGGCAAAGTGTGCAGGAGGACCAGGTGAGCGCTGCCCGTGGCTGCGCTGTGCTGTGTGCATGGGGGGGCTGCAGGGCTCGCCGCTGTGCAGTGAGACCCCACGTGTGGCCGGGCACGTCGGGCAGGGCGCCGCTTGGCTGCTGGGTGCCTCTGCTCACAGCACGGCCCTGGGGCGCTCGCTGTGCCCTGCATCGGAGCACCAGCATCGTCCCCAGCAGAGCCGTGTGCTGAAGGCACTGCTGGTTTCACCACAAAGCCCCAGCAGCGCAGCCTCGAGCTGCCTGGAGCAGCAGCAGGGGCAGAGATGGGGGCAATGGGGGTCCCAAGCAGTGCGCACGGGGCCCAAGGGAGCCCTGCCGGGCACGGGGCCGCCTGCTGGGCACATTGGGGGTGGGATGGGGTTGGGGTTGGGACCCATGGGGGCTGGAAGGTGCCCAGGGGTCGGCTTCCCAGTGGGTGTGAGCACGGCTGCGTGCCCTGCTGTGCGTTGTGCCCTCATTGCTCACTAACAACTTGGAGCCCTGGTTGCTGTGAGCCTGCGGTGCCGCGCAGGCGGTTGTGTGAAAACCTTTCTGTGAGGTCTGGCTCTGTTTGTGCCACCGTGTTTCCTGCGTGCCGTAACCCCACTGCCACCTCGGGGGGGAGGGGAGTCACCAAAGGGTTGTGGAAAGGGCTGTGGGTGCAGAGCTGCAGGTGGAGGTCCCCAAAAGCTGCCCCTGTGGCGATTTGGGGCGGTTCTGAGTGGCTGCCCTCGGGGTTCACTGGGTTCCTTGGAGCTCCGTGCTATGAACGCTGCTCCTCCTCTTGGCCGTTCTCACTTTGATGCTGTAGGAGGAAGAAAACCTGCGTTCCCAAGTCAGGGACCTGGAGGAAAAGTTGGAGACGCTGAAGATCAAGCGCAATGAGGACAAAGCCAAGCTTAAAGAGCTGGAGAAGTACAAGATCCAGCTGGAGCAGGTGCAGGAGTGGAAGAGCAAGATGCAGGAGCAGCAGGCAGACCTGCAGAAACGGCTAAAGGAGGCCAGGAAGGTGAGCCTGCAGCTCGCATGGGGTCCCCAGGGCTGGGGGAGAAGCTTTGTGCCTCCTCTTCGTGTCTGCTTCTGTGTCACACCCAGGGATTGCTGTCTCTAAATGGCAGTGTGTTCCCACACGGCTCTCGTGGCTTAAAGCAGCACCTCGTTGTAGTTTTGTTTTAATGCAGCACCTCGTTGTGGTTTTGTTTTAATGCAGCACTGGGGGGCTTCTCCTTGCTGCACTGTCAGTGTTTGGGATGGTCTGTGTGGGCTGAGGGGAGCGGTGCTGTGCTGGGGGCTGTTTGTGTTCCTGGGGGGGCTGGAGGGGATGGCAGTGTGTGTAAATGTGTGTGTAACAGACACAGCTGGGCTCTCAGCACTGCTGAGACCTCGCAGCCCCCAGCCCAACCCCTGCCCCAGCAGTTCAGGCCATCCGTGGCCTTGGGCATCTCCAGGGATGGGGCAGCACAGCTCCGGGCAGCTGGAAAGGCTGTGAATAGGGGAGGGGAAATGGGAGTGTGGGCAGAGAGCCGCCCCTGCCAGCCCTCATCAGCTGTCGTTAATTAGAACCATAGGGTCATTGTCCAGAGGGGGGGTGGGTGAGAGACCCCAAGGGCAGGGAATGGGGCTCTGCCCCCCTGTTGGAGCTGTGGGTGCTGATGTTCATTGCAGGGGGTGGGATGGGTGGCCTTCAAAGGCCGCTTCCAACTCAGACCGTTCTGTGGCATGATGGAATGGTTGGGTTGGGGGCGCCTTAAAGCCCACCCAGAGCCAACCCTGCAGCGGGGGTCCCTCAGGGCCCCATCCAGCCTGACCTTGGGCACCTCCAGGTGGGCCTCAAACCTCCTTTGGGACAGCTGTGAGAGCTGGAGCTGCCCAGGGCTTCGTGGGAGGGCTCCCCATTGCTGGCCCTGCACTTTGGGCACGGTGTTTTCACCCATGTGTTTGACCCCAGGAAGCCAAAGATGCCCTGGAAGCCAAGGAGCGCTACATGGAGGAGATGGCCGACACCGCCGACGCCATCGAGATGGCAACCCTGGACAAGGAGATGGCAGAGGAGCGGGCAGAGTCCCTGCAGCAGGAGGTGGACTCCCTGAAGGAGAAGGTGGAATATCTCACCATGGACCTGGAGATCCTGAAGCACGAGATCGAAGAGAAAGGTGGGCGAGGAGCTGGGGAGGGTCGGCCTGGGCTGCTGCGTCCTGGGGAGGGCACACAACTCCCTGAGCCCTGGGGAAGGGTGGGGATGGATGGGTTTGGAGCCAGGGGCCTCGTTTCAGTGCCTGTCCCCGTGCTGGGGATGGCGGTCCCCCTCCAGAAGGGCCCTCTGTGTTGGCCCTCTCTGTGACTCAGCTGCCCTCTTCCTGAGCACTTTGTGCTGGGGAGCCGGAGCTGCTGGTGAGTCCACAAGAGCAGAACCTTCCTTCCTGCTGCAGGCTCGGATGGAGCAGCGTCCAGTTACCAGGTCAAGCAGCTGGAGGAGCAAAACGCGAGACTGAAGGAAGCTCTGGTGAGGTAGGAGAGCGCCTGAGCTCCCGGGAGGATGGGGGACGTCTCACTCTGTCACTGTGTGCTGATCAGAATCCCTCTGTGCATGAGTGCACGTGGTGCCTGCTGCCACCCTGGGGCTCTGAGCACTGTGCTCTGTGAGCCTGCAGCACAGAAGGGAGAATTCCTTCTCACTGGAGTGACATTTATTGCAGCCAAGTGCCCTGAGGGCAGCTCGTGTGCCTGGGGGACGGGGCTGCCAGCACTGCACTGCACTGCGAGCCTGCGTGGGGCTGGGAGCAGCTTCTGCTCGAGATACATGGCCTCTGTGTGCCATAGAGCCCAGCAGTGACATTATGAGTGCTGTTGTGTCATAGAGCCCAGCAGTGACATTATGAGTGCTGTTGTGTCATACAGAGCCCAGCAGTGACATTATGAGTGCTGTTGTGCCATACAGAGCCCAGCAGTGACATTATGAGTGCTGTTGTGTCATACAG